ACTGTCTTAAGCTTAAAACAGTCAGAGTATTCAATAATCTCGAATTCAACTTAAAATCATACTGAAAGTTATTGATAATCCACAACTTAAGTCTTACATACAAGGAGCTCATACTTCTTTTTTCCATCCATGTGAGACGAGTTGTTACATATACTAAAATTAACAGTATGTAAATATTTAATGGGATTATTTATTGTAAGAATAATTATATTAAGTTTCAAGATATTATTTTGAAAACCCATGTGTATTAGGTTAAAAGCAAAAAAAATGACAAATCGTCTTTCATCTATCACTGGTTTGATTTCAGGCACTGTCAAAACCTTTGTAGTCATGGAGATTCATGTGCATCCAAATCATTCGTGGTTGCCTGAGGGATAACTCAGTATAAAACAAGTGAATTTTACCCACAAAAATCACCTAGTGCAGAAAATACCAATGCTTTGGCAGACCTCAATGTTTTTCGAGAAAATACCAATGAATCATCCAAAGAATCCATGAATAATCTGTCACTGATTTGAATTACCCACCAACTTGTGTGACGGCTTTGTGGAAGTTGATTGTTTCGGTAATAAGATCGTCGGAAGGTGGTGTGTACCGGCGGCGTACGTAGGTCGGTTGAAGTAAGGAAAAGGGTTGCCGGCGAAAGGAATTTAAGGAAGCCCACCAATAGGAAAGTGGTCAATGGAAGCCATGTGCGATCATATGGTGGTTGCCACGTCACATCTAACCTTCGCTTTTCACCTCCCCCACCAACCACATTTCTCCAAAATCAAGTCTCCACGACCTCTATCTCTATGCCTATGCCTTCTTTTCATTATTACTCTTAATTCATATTTATTAAAACTAAAATCAATTATTTGTATTTAATTTCAAGAAACTAGTTTTTGATCATAACATTCACCATTTGAGTTCTAATTTTGAGAGAAAGTCAATTATATGTATAAATCGTTCAAATTTCATTCAATCAATTATATTTTTTTTTGTTTATTTTTTTGTAATTATGAGAGGTTGATTAATCATTTTAATTTTGAAGAGTGTTAATTACGGATATTTTCATCTTAATTATATTAATTTTAGAAAAATGCATGAAACGGTTTCATTAAAATTTCATAAGTATTATATGAAACAATTTCATAACCATGTATAAAACAACTTCATCAAAAGAAGTATTATATGAAAAAAAATTCATAAGATTAGACAATGAAATCGATGGATAAGGATGGTTTGCACGGTTTGTACAAATATAGGTAGTTTGCATTGGATCACTCCCCCCCCCCTCTCTCTCTCTCTCTCTCTCT